ACGGATTAAAAGTGATATAAGCTTATCAAAAGACAGTTCGTCATCTCTACAAGTTATTCAGTGACTATGTCCGAGTTCAGTCCGTTTCTAAATGCAATAATGAGAGCTGGCTCATTCCAACCACTGCCAACTCTAATGGTCCGAAACTGCGTGAGAAGCCCCTGAACATTACCTTGACAGATTTTGGCTAATAACTCCCCACATGCCCTTCCTTTGAGGGGATGATCAAAAACAATCCCAATTCAGTAATAAATTGTTTGCAGGTAAATTTTTAGACCATACAGCCACGGCCCAATCAAGCTTTATCAGTAAGTCTGGATACAAAGAATGCTATTTTAGCCCGATCTGAGCTAGCGACGCATTATGAAAGATAATGATCCATTATAGGGCACCAGTGAACAGCTTAAAAGCTGATCCAGCACAAATCAGTTATCCACATATTGCTGTATTATTTACAATGAAGGCCAAACTAAAAAAAAAAACCTGAATCCAATATTAACAGGGCTGCAAACTCAACTCTGAAAGTCTGCAGTAAATATCCTCATAAGTGAGGACGTTACCAAGTGGTCGAATTAAGGTTGACAAACTAAAGAAAAATGTACCACATGTACCATGTGACTCACACATCTCAAAGACCACCACAGTCTCATATATGTGGCCAACCTCACTATCTAACACAATCTCCTTAGTCTAGACCATTTATAGTTACAGTTGAGCACAGATACTCTGCAGTGACTTCCCACCAGTAGATAAGCTGACGAACAACACACGCAAAGTCATCAGTTCAGACTTATTAGTAGACTTACACGTTCTGCTCCAGTCAGTCAGAGCAGAATGGAAATGAGGGATGATATTTATGCAAATTCAGGAATTACTGCAGACAACAGAGGAAATTCAGACAGCAGTGGACATTCATATGAAGACATTTATGCCAATGAGGACAACACAGAGACGCATAACACCGACAACCCCAGTGGATTTTGGGAGTTGGAGTTCTGAACGGAGTGAGGAGAGTTTGTCTCTGCTAGGCCGGCAGATGGCGTGACACAGACACCTAGACAGAGCCATGAGTTATGATACAGCAATGTTTAATGCAAGACCGGATAGTTAGTGGTAAGTGCTGACATCTAAGCATATAAGTAAAGTTAAATAAGAGACAAATGCAGCTAGTTAGCTAAGTAGCTAAAAGATTTCTATGAACTTCTCAGTTAATAAGTGTTTTGCCAAAACCCTTATCGTTTGTAGTTTTATGACAAAACAAGTGTGAGCAATATTTTCTCCAGGTTAGAAGGCAACTAAAATATCAAACTCCCATGAGACACGGCAGGAGTTAGCACTGGTACGTCTGGCAGCCAAATATGAAAATGGTCTGGCTAGTTCCTGTTTGCAGGGCTCTAAATGGAAACTAACTATAACAAATTACAGAATACATTAGTGTGATCATGAGTACATAGTTACTCAGAATCTCATAACGTTATAAGACTGTGGTGATAATCTCAGCTCCTGGTGGGCCATGACTGAAGATATTTACTCTCCTCATGCTGAAATCAAACTACAAAGGTCTTGCTAATTCACTTATGAGCTGAAACAGGTATTTAATGAGCTTGAATGTTGAACTCTGCAGTGCTGCGGCCCACCAGGACTAGAACACAACACATAAGGTCTCAGGACCCTTCATTCAATATTTGAAACAGTCTAAGTTTGGTGTCACACCATAATGATCCATTATAGGGCACCAGTGAGCAGCTTAAAAGCTCCAGCACAAATCAGTTATCCACACATTGCTGTATTATTTACGAGCAAGGCCAACTAAAAAATAACTGAATCCAATATTAACAGGGCTGCATACTAAACTCTGATAGTCTGCATGCAAATATCCTCATAAGTGAGGACGTTACCAAGTGGTCGAATTAAGGTTGACAAACTAAAGAAAAATGTACCACATGTACCATGTGACTCACACATCTCAAAGACCACCACAGTCTCATATATGTGGCCAACCTCACTATCTAACACAATCTCCTTAGTCTAGACCATTTATAGTTACAGTTGACTACAGATACTCTGCATTGACTTCCCACCAGTAGATAAGCTGACGAACAACACACGCAAAGTCATCAGTTCAGACTTATTAGTAGACTTACACGTTCTGCTCCAGTCAGTCAGAGCAGAATGGAAATGAGGGATGATATTTATGCAAATTCAGGAATTACTACAGACAGCAGAGGAAATTCAGACAGCAGTGGACATTCATATGAAGACATTTATGCCAATGAGGACAACACAGAGACGCATAACACCAACAACAAAGGAAACTCCAGAAACAAACGCATTAGAAATGCTGAGGAAGATGACAAAACCTCTCACTCGCATGCAGCAGATCCTCAGTACAGAGGTAAGTTTAAGTCTTTAATGGGGTTTTTACTGACCCATTTATTATCAACAAATGTTTTTTTTTTCTTTGCAAGAAACAGCCACATGCAGCTGAGTTTGTCTGTCTGCTCATAAAAACATGTGCTCTATTCATTAATTACACCAGCAATGAGAAGCAAATACAGTGCCCTCCACAATGTCTGGCACCCGAAAAACATCAGCAAAATAGACAACAAGAAAATAAATCAAATTTTCTCGAATAAATATGTGTCACACTTGTTGGCATCCCTTCATTTAGTACTTTGTGCACCTTCACTTCGCAAAGATAACAGCTCTGGCTGTTTTCCTATAATGCTGAATGAGACTGGAGAACACATGACAAAGGACCTGAGACCATACCTCTGTACAGAACCTGTCCAGATCCTTCAGAGTCTGAGGTTCATGCTTGTGGACTCTCTTCTTCAGCTCGTCCCATAGTTTTTATGGGAACTGGAGTGGCCATGGCAAAATCTTCAGTGATCCATTTTTGTGTTGATTCTGAGGTGTGCTTTGCATCACTGTCCTGAGCCCAGGGCCTTTGCCCGCAGTGAAACAGGAGGTCATGGCTGATCATATATATATATATATAATCTGTGATAATTGAATAGCACCCCCAGGGAATCTGAAACTTCACTAGTTATTAAAAAGTCCTTATATAAATTCAATATTCAAGTTTCATAATGATTGGTCAATGATAACCCTGACAAATGCCTGCTGAAAGCTGATTGACTGACAGCAACCATAAATTTCAACGTATCAAAGTATCCTTAGAGATTCAATTATAGTCTGTCTAATAGATGCTACCTACAACATTTTAGCTTGGTCGGATGTATGGATGCTGAGAAACAGTTATTCAGCCTTTGTAAAGCCCCCTAATTATCTGTGCTAAAATTGATAGGCTACCTCACAATCTGCTCCTGAATAAGTATGTTAAGTTTCAATGATAGAATTTTTATATAATTCTGAATTATTTCAGAAGGGTTCATTAGCATATGGAAGCCATATTGTTTACAAAAGTCAACTTTTTTTATTAATTATTGAGATTCAGGCTCCTCTGAATTTTTAAACACCAGTTACATGAGAATCAAGTGAAAACCCTAGGACTAGTTTGCAAACATAGGTTTCGTATATTATGCAATTATGCAAAAAATCTAAGTAGGCGGAGCTAAATTGCCCAAATTGCAAAGTCATTTGTTTTGACCCAAGGAATCCAGAAAAAAAAATCATTTTGTCTATAAAATATTTGGTTTAGGAGTTATAGGGCGAAACGTGTTGTGCTGTACAATAGCACCCCCTTTAGGCCAATTGGGCTCATATCATATGCCTGAGTAGCAAGAGGGACTACTACCTACTGAAGTGTACAGAAACATCATATCTGCCCAAGTTCAGGAAAATGCAGTAAGCCAGTGGCTAAGTTTACATGCAAAGATTTTTGCCAATCCGAATTAATACATTCCGATTACAGATTAAGACTGAGGTGTTTATATGAACACTCTATTAAAAAATCTGATGAAAATCTTCGTAAAAGTAATCCTATCCAAAATGACGCGTATGTGTGGAGTAGCGCTTAGACTAAATGTTACCATGACAGCGAGCATCACGTGAGGTCCAGTCAGAGTGAGATGAGTTTCCAGTTGGCGCGCTGGAGTTTTTGATTGCTTTGAAATGATGTCAGATTCCAGAAAATGTGCTTCATATGTCCTTATTAAAGAAGGGCGAGAGGAAGACGTCGTGTTCTGAGACACATAAGCTGGACATCCGTCCCACCACCATCTTTTAAAGATCAGAGCATAAACTTCGTCTCATCTGCAGACCAGTTTCTGCTCCGCCATGTTGAACGTTTTGCCAGAGCCGGTTTATGAGTTCTGTGCTTTTGATATGACATGACGCACATGCGCAGAACATACTTCCGATTGGAAATGTAATCAGATACAGGCGTTTACATGGCTATTATTCTTCTATTTAACGAATTATTTACAGGATTACCCATCTTGTTCAATCAGATAGAAATTGTATTCCGAATGGCCTCAATTGGACTAGACTATTCCGATTGAGGTGTTTACATGGACGTATTCTATTACGATTGAGCTATTAGTCGGATTATTAACGGATTATCAGGCTGCATGTAAACAGGGCTAATGATCACAAACATACTCCTAAAGCAACGGAGTAATTTAAAGCTAAAATCTGGAAAATTCTTCAGTCACCTGATCTGAATCCCATTGACCATGGCTTTCATATACTGAAGAAAAACCAAAGGAGACTAGCCTTCAAAACAAGCAGCTGAAGACGGCTGCAGTACAAGTCTGGGAGAGCATCACAAGAGAAGATACTCAACACCTGGTGATGTCTATGAGTTGCAGATTTCAATCAGTGCAGCAGTGCCGTGCTGTGTACTTACATAGCAAGGGGAAGATGGCACGGTGAAGGTCAATGGCAGAGCCAGTGCAAGAAGGTATGATGGCGAAGTCAGCACGGGAAGGCTTGATGATGGGGCCGGCGCAAGAAGGCTCAGCTATGAGGCTGATGCCAGAAGGCTTGGTGACAATGCTGGCGCAAAGGCTCACGACCAGAGGCATCACTGGGACATGCCCACTGTGACCAAGCATGTTCATGCACACAAGGACGCAGCCCCGGGCATGGACTGGGTGTGCTCGCCACCGAGGAGCAAGTGCCCCTTGTGCTGGCCAGGACTGTCTGCACAGAGACTTAACTCCTGCCGGGTGTATACACACACACACACACACACACACACACACACACAAACAAACAAACAAACAAACAAACCCCACGTCTTTTGGACCATCTAAAATGAGCTCAGGCCCAGAGAATTTAATGGCATTTCTGCATAGAATTGTATGGCTTTCTCCTTCATAGTGTAACAGAGTTTCAAGTTGCATTTCTTGGTGCAGCAGTGGACTGTGTTAGGTGACAATAGTTTTCTGAAGTACTCCCAAGCCCAAGTAGCTATATTAAACAGTAGGATGACAGTTTGCAGTGCCATCTGAGGGCTCGAAGGTTACATTCAACAGTGGTTTCCAGCCATGCCTTACAAGATTTCTCCAGATTCCCTGAATCCTTTCATGATATTATGCATGGCAAATGGTCAAAGACCTAAATTGTTTGCGATGTTGTATTGAGAAATGTCCTTTTAGAACTGTTTGACAATTCTTTATTGACGTTTGGCTCAAAGTGGTGAGCCAATCTTCATCTTTCATCTGGCCAAACCTGTCAAAAACTTTTCTCTCAAAGTCCACCAATCCATGAATAAATTCAAGTGATAGCATAGCAAGGGCATGAAAAGGGCAGGCAAGGAAAGCAGAAGAGTGTTTTTAGCTACACTCACAGTTAGCCATGTTTTTCTCTTGAACCTCTCTGGATTGAAGGAGCAGTTTTTGTCCTTTCCAGCCTGAATGATATTGAAATCCTCTGGCTGGCGTGTCCCAAATGTTTAATGTCTAATTTCTGCTTTAATGGCAGGGTACCAAATTTAGCTTTTATTATGTTTTTTATTATATTGCATTGCTATTATGTGTGGCTACCACAACTGATGTGGAACAGTGGCTAGCTGCGTAGCAACACCCATACCATAAACAATGCTTACTAAAGTAAATATATTATGTTTTATTGGTTGTTCTCAGCATGGGGCCAGCGTGATCGGGCCCCAAAGCTGGTTATTGAAAGCGTGTTGAACGTGCGCAGAGTGTTTTTTAACTGCTCACATGGTTAGATGAACACTGATGGGCCCCACGCTCACCAAACACCACAGAGCATTTATGCCCAAATTTACATGCACTCCTACCAGATATGAGTTAGTTTGTACAGATATTCCAAAGATGAAAGTGACGAATAACAAAACCATCCATGAATTGGTGTGCGCTCATCTTACGGTCAGATGTGACCATAAGCATCTTTAATGAACAAGAACCAATGTGAGAAAAGTGAAGCAACTGAATATATGGAGGTGATGGAAAGTTAATTAACAGATAATTAACGGGACTAAAACATAAGTGCTAGTAAGTTATCATGTTACTTCTTTATATGAATGAAAATACTTATTTGTTCATTAACAATGTAATAAGCAGCAGTTCGTACACAGATAATGAGCAAGCAGGCCATAAACTAATGACAAACTAACTTATCAACTAACAGTGTACTCAATTACTAATTGATAAGTGCTTAATCAGTTACTAAGTAATAGCTAACGCTTAATGAAGAGTTAACTAGTAACTAAATTGTGGGAAATTAATAGTTGATCATTATATAATTAATGATTGATTGGCGACCCTTATTGTAAAGTGTTACCTTGGTTTTATTATCTTCTATGCTTTGAATTTGCATTTTAAACAGGCTACATTTGGGTGTTGCATTGCAATGATCCACAAGAGGGCACCAAACACCAGCTTAAAAGCAGATCCAGCAATTATTGGTTGTACATACTTTATAATAATGTTGCGTCTTGGCAAAGAAGGAGACACAGAAAAGGCTGTGATTTCTACTATGAGAAGTGCTCTTTATTACCACCAGCAAAAAAGGCACATAAACATAAAGTCTTTGGTTTCACTACAACTATGAGGAGAACGTTAGTGGTGATGTGTTATTTGAAAATATTAAATGTTGTTTGTAATATTGTAAATACAATAATAATAATAATAATAATATTTTTTGTTTATATAGTACTTTTCATGCCAGTGGCAGCTCAAAGTACTTTACATATTATATATATATATATATATATATATATATATATATATATATATATATATATATATGTATACATATATATATATATATATATATATATATATATATATATATATAAAACCGACGTGGTGGTGGTGTTAGTGTGTGTTGTGCTGGTACGAGTGGATCAGACACAGCAGTGCTGCTGGAGTTTTTAAACACCTCACTGCTGGACTGAGAATAGTCCACCAACCAAAAATATCCAGCCAATAGCGTCCTGTGGGCAGCATCCTGTGGGCAGCGTCCTGTGACCACTGATGAAGGACTAGAGGATGACCACCACAAACTGTGCAGCAGCACAGTCTCTGACTTTACACCTACAAGGTGGATTGACAAGGTAAGAGTGTCTAATAGAGTGGACAGTGAGTGGACACAGTGTTTAAAAACTCCAGCAGCAGTGCTGTGTCTGATCCACTCGTACCAGCACAACACACACTAACACCACCACCACATCGGGTTTTTATATATAAATATATATATATATATATATATATATAATATGTAAAGTACTTTGAGCTGCCACTGGCATGAAAAGTACTATATAAACAAAAAATTATTATTATTATTATTATTATTATTCAACACTACAACAGAAATACTTCATCACTCACATCACAGTCACCTCAGAAACTCTAATTACTGTTGGCCTTAAAGTAAATATTAATTTGCTCTGTACTTTTGTAAATATTGTAATTAGTTCATTGTTCTCTGGCTGCTAATTTAAACACTGCAAAAAAGTGGAAAAGGGCCGAAGTTGATTTAAAGTGTTTTGAATTTTGAATTGATGTAAATGATGATTTTGTTAGTCTAAACTAAAATCTAGTAAATTGCTTGTTAAAACAATAAATAGTATTTTTAAGCTTGAACTGGCAAATCATTATTTAGAGTGAATGAAAAATTGAATTGTTTATCTTCATGTTACCTAGCAAAGAGAAAAGATCTTAATAATTTGGTCATTTGTTCTCATCCACATCACACCTAATGTTCTCTCTTACTTATATATGTACGAATAAGCAGTTGCTTATTACATGCTGGGCCCATAACGGACCATTTATTATGAACAAAATAATTCCAGAACAGATCCCTTTTTATAGATGGTGAACACCTGGGCAGGATTTCATCTCAGATGGGATTCAGTCGTGATCAGCCTATTTACATACATTCAAATAGCAGTTTGTCTCTATAACCATTATAACTATGTTGGCTTTGATTTTGTCCAATATCGTATTTGTGATTTAGCAAATTGATACCCAGTTTACCCACTGAACATTACCCACATGTTCAGTGTTACAATTTTGGAATAGTGTTAACAAGAAATTGTAATTGTTAAGCTCCTCGTTGCAGAGATATGTGCACAGCTGGAACAACGTTTTTGTGAGTCATTTGAGCCAAACACTACAAACTGTTTATGCTGTTTCTGTTTGATTTCACCAGTGATTTCAAATATGATTTTAAAACGTTAATGTGGCTTTTAGTTTTGGGTTTATGGAGCTCTTCCCTTTTCTCAAGGACTTTGCTTATACACACACATTGCTCTGTAACTTACCAGGCAGGACAAAGCAAAAAGCAAATGTTATAGTTTGTTTTTTAACTGAATCCAACATGTATAGAGCTGCAAACCCAGCTCTGAACCTCTGCACTAGAACATCCTCATGAGTGAAGACCAACCAAGAGGTTGAATTACAGTATCTCACAAAAACGAGTACACCTCTCACATTTCTGCAGATGTTTTATTATATCTGTAGCCTTTGTAGTGGAACACCTTCTGTTTGTGTTTTTCTTTGTGTGCTACGCCAGTGATTAGGATAAGAGCAGGCGTGAACAGAGCCACCTGGGGTCTTTGGGGCAGGCATATATACAGCTTGGGGTCCTGGTAGCAGTTTTCGGTTCATTGCTGCTAGGCTAAGCCGGCGGGCGTGTTGGTGTCAGCATTTCTTGTTGGAACCGCAGGTTCAGTCTGTACTACATCAAGTGTCGAGGCACTGGTGGACGGGCGCAGCTGAAGCTTGGGTCCTGTTAGCTTTAGCCACTTGGAGCTAAGCCGGTGCGAGTGGCGACAGCAGCAGCGGTGCGTGTTTTAATTCATTTCGTGTGCAATTAGCCAAGTAGCAATCTGGAGCAAAGTCAGCACCAACTGTAGCGTCCAGTTTACATCGTTGGCCTTAGTACCCTAGATTGATTTTATTATTATTATTATTATTGAGTTTTAATTGAGATGCTGCTCTAACTTGTAAAGAAAGTGTTTTATTGCCTAAGCTGCCCTCTAGCCTAGAGGGGTTGCAACTTCTTTTAGTTATTTTTATTACTATTATGTTCCCTTAGTTATATTCCAGTCTACGTGGGGTTAAGTTTAGTCCAGGGAGTTTGGGACGGAGGAATGTTTGGGGATGGATTGCTGTGTTCACTAGAATGGTAGAAATTTGCAGTGCAGTGCATTTGGAGTGATTAGCATGTATTGCTGTAATGGTGTTTTTCCTTTTTTCCTTTTTGAATCGATTCACGTGTCATTGAGAGAATAATCGTCCGTTAGTGTCCCAACAGGCCAAGGCTTGAGTAGCCCCAGTAGTACTGTGACTTTCTTTAGGACTGGTTGTTTTTATTTATTTTTAGGTTTTGTTTTATAAACTGAACTGACAGTCAGTGTATGACCTCAGCTTTCTTTAATAAAGATTGTATTTTTCTGAACCTGCATTTGTGAATTTACTATGGTCAGAGCTCCCCTTTGCTCTAGGTATAAACAAGGGGTGACGTTGTCAGGTATACAATAACGGGGCTGCCACATATCTCTTCATGGGACAACACTATAGAAATGAAACTTGGATATAACCTAAAGTAGGTACTGCTACTTTAGGTTAGTACTGCTATACAAGATTTACTGTCCTCTGAAAAGAACTCAACACACAGCCGTTAATGTCTAAATAGCTGGCAACACAAGTGAGTACACGTCACAGTGAACATGTCCAAATTGTGCTCAAAGCGTCAATATTTTGTGTGGCCACCATTATTATCTAGCACTACCTTAACCCTAATGGGCATGGAATTCACCAGAGCTGCACAGGTTGCTACTGGAATCTTCTTCCACTTCTCCATGATGACATCATGGAGCTGGTGAATGTTAGACAACTTGCGCTCCTCCACCTTCCACTTGAGGATGCCCCACAGGTGCTCAGTGGTTCTAGGTCTGGAGACATACTTGGCCAGTCCATCACCTTTCCTTCAGCAAGGCAGTTGTCGTCTTGGAGGTGTGTTTGGGGTCATTATCGTGTTGGAAAACTGCCATGCGGCGCAGTTTCAGAAGGGAGGGGATCATGCTCTGCTTCAGAATGTCACAGTACATGTTGGATTTCATCCACCACGCTTGACTGTAGGGAAGAAACAGTTGTCTTAGTGCTCCTCACCAGGGCGCCACCACACATGCTGGACACCATCTCAGCCAAACAAGTTTATCTTGGTCTCATCAGACCACAGGACGTGATTTGAGTATTCCATGTTCTTGGACTGCTTATCTTCAGCAAACTGTTTGCGGCTTTCTTGTGAGTCAGCTTCAGAAGAGGCTACCTTCTGGGACGATGGCCATGCTGAATATCCAGTGGCCAGTATGAGCGAATTGTACCCAAAATACCAAATTTAACAGCCCTGCTCCCCATTCACACCTGGAACCTTGTAACTCCTAATGAGTCACATGACACCATGAGGGACAACGACACAATTGGGCACTGTTTGGACATGTTCACTGTGAGGTGTACTCACTTGTGTTGCCAGCTACTTAGACATTAATGGCTGAGAGTTATTTCAGAGGACAGTAGATCTATACTGCTATACAAGCTGTACTCTGACTACTTTAAGTTATATCCAAGTTTCATTTCTACAGTGTTGTCCCATGAAAGATATAATAAAATATATGCAGAAATGTGAGGGGTGTACTCACTTTCATGAGATACTGTAAGCTGACAAACTAAAGAAAAGCTTCAAGAAGCTTCTCCACATTTACCATATGACTCATCTCAAACGTCATCAGGGTCTCACGTCTGTGGCCAGCGTCACTATCTAACACAATGTTCTTAGTTTAGAGAAGACTGATTACTCTCACAGTTAAGCACAGATACTCTGCTGTGACTTCCTGTCAGCAGTAGCATTAACCTGATATACAGAGTCACTTTTAGAGTTATCAGAGTTATTAAAGTTAACATCAGTCAGAGCAGAATGGAAATGATGGAGGTTATTTATGCAAATTCAGTAATTACTGCAGACACGTGTTTTATTAACTAATTGTTGTTGGCCACAGCACCGCTGTACATAAGCAGTTTTCTCTAACAGTTCACTTTTAGCCTAAACTACACTTTATTCTCTCAAAGTTTTTGAGTGACATTAAGTTCTTCCAGCTCAAACACACATCCCTCTGGGGGAAACTAGCCCTGCCCTGAGAATAAGAGTCCTTACCAGAATATCCCGTAAATAAATACAGAAGAACCAATAACCCGTGGTGGGGGCCTCTTATCTTGGCTAATTCTTTGGCTAAGCTGCATGTGGGGGAGATACGCCACTGGACTAGTTCTTTGCAGCGTCTTCTCATTGTCCACCAGCCTCGCCTCCCTTTGCCTCCTCTGAGCCCTCTTACCACCCTTTACTTGGACCAGCTCTAGGTCATTGCACTGGTTGCTTCTTTATCACTACAAGGCCACCTTTGAAGCTCAAAGTGGCACTCCCTAAGTCTAATTGGCACCCGTGGTTTCTCAAAAAGTCCAGACCAAGAATGCACCCATGCCACTAGCTCTGTGGCAGCAAGTATGGCCAGCCTACCATTTCCATCATCTCCTTCACCCATGCCGGCTCTGGTGACACACTTGTCTCCTCCACAGCTCTGACCACAGGATTGGTTATATCCATGCTCTGTGAAGTTGTCTGTGAACACCATTTCTCTCTCCAGCCCCTGCTCCAGGGCATCTTGTAAGTCACATGGGCAGGCCAGCTGTGTGTGGATGCAGTGCCATGATGAACTTGGGGTAACTTGCTATACACAGAAGGTGGCAAGGGAGCATAACCGGAGCTCCCCAACTAATGCACTGTATTCAGATCCACCCAGTTCAACCCTTCCTTGACAGCAGGGGTGCTCTTGAAGATGCATTATGTCATCCTCTTCTACGTCACACAAACAGAGTGCTTCTCTCTGAGCTATTTAGCTTAGGTTAGCTTCTGGCGGTCAAATGGCCAAAACAGGTCTGCACAACTCTGGTCCTGGAGGGCTGGTGTCCAGCACAGTTTGGTGATTTACCTGCTCAGCCACACCTGATTACACTCATCTGTTAATTGGCAGGTTTAATGAGTGTGTTTGAGTAGGGAAACCTCCATACTGTGCTGGACACTGGCCCTCCAGAACTGTGCACCCCTGGGCCAAAATGTCTCCCATTCGGATGAAACTTTTACTTCTTGAAGAGACACAGCTTTCACATGTGGTGCCTGATTAACCAGTTTTTTCTCTAACAGTTTGGAGCCGGATGCAAATAACCTCAGAGCTTTTGTATTAACAATATAAGCAAACTTTGTCTCCCTCCGTAACAAAACATCTGTATCTGTAACACTGATGAATGAACACTGCAACTCCTACAGAACTTACACAGCTCCTGAGTAATGCTGAATTATGGGTAATGTAGTTCAAGTTCATTATATAACATGACTGAGCAATGTTTGAAGCTGCGTTATTCATGGAGTCATATTTGAGCTGAATTGTTCTTATTGATTGTATTTTATTACATTTTAACACAGTGTATTATATTGTTGGTTGCTGTTTTGTAAAAGCATTGAAGCATTTGAGACATGCGTTCCTGTGATTTTACCAGGGGTGAGGGGTGTAACAGGATTAATCACCCAAGATGCAGTTGATCATAAAAATACTGTATATTTGATATCTGACATCTGCTTCTTTAGTTCACCCACATGGAAAAAATATAGTCCATGCTGAAATACATTCCAAACACTATGATGTATTTCAGAATATACTGCCATATTAACCAAATATATTTTATTTTTTTAAATGCATGAGGAAATGTATATATATATATATATATTTATATATATATATATATATATATATATATATATATATATAGAATATATTTTACAAATTTGTAAAATATATGTTATATATATTATAATTTTTTACACCCTGATAACGCCAGCCTTTGAGTTTTATTAACATGCTGGATGTAAAAACAATTCCAGAATCAAAACTACTCAACGCTGACATTTGATGTCATGTTGGTGTATCAGTTGAAAATGTGTTTAGTAAATGGTTTAGCATCTTAACTGACTAACTCAACAGCAGAACTACAGCATAAGGCCTTTCACTCTATATCACACAAGGACAAACTCTACTAATTCATAAGCTTTATCCTTTTTGTTTACATCTGAACAATTAATGCACTCACTGAAACATGTTTGTATCTGTTTTCAGGACTGAGCACTGCAGACAGAAGGTGCTACAGGCTGACTGTAGTGTGTCTGGGGCTGCTGTGTGTTCTCCTGCTGACTGCCATCACAGTGCTGTGGATCCAGTTCACTGCAGAGAGAGACCAGTTACAGACCAGCTACACCAACCTGACCATAGAGAGAGACCAGTTACAGAGTACTTACATTAATCTGTCTAAAGACAAAAATCAGTTGGAGTCAAGCTGTAACAATGTAAAAAATGACCTTCAGAAGAAACTCTCTTCTTTAGGTAAGCTGAAACTTTTAAGATGAATAGATTAGTTAAATCCATGGATTAGTTAAAATACATTACAACACTATTAACATTTTCATTTACAGGGTACTCGATCCAAGTCTGAAAAAGCCAGTAGAATTCCTGAACAGTGTAAAAACTTTATTTTTTAAATAAAGATACCATAAAATTTCTATCAGTGTTAAATGAAACTGCCCAGAGCTTTGCTAATTTGTCATTTTGCAAGGACCAGTACTGCCCGAACCACTGCAGCACACCACCTGCTAACAGAATATTTTCCTCATCACTGACTAGCTCGTCATGCAAGTTGAACTAAATAAACACACTGATATGAAAAGCATATCAGGGATTTGCATGCACCTCAGACAAAATGCTCAATGCAGCATACATTTTCACAGAATGCATTCCCTCCTAACACAGTTCCTGAACATCGTATAAGTCTTAGCAGATTCAAAATAGGGATCAGTTTGTGACTTTAAGTGCAATGTAGAACAGCAGAGTGTGCAGTTACAAATTATGTGTACATGAAGTAAAACATCTGAAACAATATTAATTATAAACTACAATAGAACGTGATTTTGCTGGAATAGCAGTCAGTGCACAGCTCACTGTACAACCCAAACCTTCATTGTGGCCAAAAACACATCATTTTGCTTCATAATGTCTTTTTCCCTTGAAATGTACTGCCAGCTTTAATGTGCTCCGTGGTGGTGCAAAAGCAACCATTTAAGCATTTACCTTATGATCAAGAGAGCCCACATTCTTAAAATCAAAAAAATCAAGAGTGTAAGGTAGAGTGTAGGAAAGTAAAAACACACTACCTTGACAATAACAAAGTAATAATAATAATTCCAAAAAAGTTCCCAAACACTTACAGAGTGTTGTTAAAAGAAGAGGTGATGAAACACAGTGGTAAACATGCCCCCGTCCCAACTTGGAACGTGTTGTTCGCATCAAATTCATAATGGGCATATATTTTTCAAAAAACAATACAGTTTCTTCGTTTCAACATTTGATATGTTGTCTTTGTAGTATTTTCCTTTAAAAATATGGTTTACATGATTTGCAGATCATTGCATTTTGTTTTTATTTACATTCTGCACAGTGTCCCACTTTTTTGGAAATGGGGTTGTAACTGAACAAAGTACTTATATATTATGTTGGCTCATATTCTTCCTGCCATAAAATTGCAACAAATTATCTGAAATATATTAAATCGATCTGTTAATTGTCAATCGTGTTTTGGGGTGAAAATATGTAACTATTAAAAACCAGGGTCATCTTATCCACAAAGGGCCGGTGAGAGCACACCACATACAACTAATCAACCACTTAGCAACCTTAAATACCCTAGCAACATCTTAGCAACCACCTAACAACTGTCTAAAATACCATAGCAACCATCCAGCATCTTAACAATACCATAAAACTGCTTATGTAACATAATCACTCTGCGTGTTATTCAGGAAATGTTCTGTTGTGTCTGGTTTTGTGACAGGATCAGGATCAGACTAAACATCAGACCTCCAAACAGTCTACATTATAGCCTTAAAAGTTAGTTTCCTGCTGATATTGTAAACATTGCACATTAAGTTTGGTTCCCCTTGCGACGGTTCTGTTTGCCCACTTCCAGTCCAATACTATAATTGACGATCAGAATCTATTTGTTTCTTGACCAAAGTGTGGAAGTGACACCAGAGGTTGTTTAATCCATTGATTAAAGCAGTTAACTTTAGCCAATCAGATCTGTACAGTACATGTTTTGGGCCAGAATATTACAAACTTACAGGATTTATTGTAAATATATAATTTATTGTAAATATTGTATTTTCTTGTAAGCCAGATGCAGTGAACTTTACCAATATGGAATGATTATCAATACTTTGATCTGAGTGTGTATACATGCATTGTTCTGTGTGTTTAATTTATAGTGAAGGCAGTGCAGGAGGGTTGGAAGTTTTTCAGCACCAGTGTTTACTTCATCTCTACTGGAGAGAAGAACTGGACTGAGAGCAGACAGGACTGTAGAGAGAGAGGAGCAGACCTGCTGATCATAAACAGCAGAGAAGAACAGGTGAGAGAGAGAGAGAGAGACAGAGGGACAGAGGGAGAGTGAGTAGAAAAGGGAACGCAGCACACTGCTCTTCAGCTCATTCTTATCTCAATTTCAGGAGTTCATCCTTAACAATCTGGGCAGCAGTCGAGCTTGGATTGGTCTGACTGACAGCGACATGGAGGGAGTCTGGAAATGGGTGGACGGATCAGCTCTGACCACTGGGTAAGAAACAGATTAAATGGCTAACTGATTAATCCCACCTTCTCAAGTACCAAATATGCCTTCAGCAGATGGATAAAGCCATGCTAACAGTGTTGTTTTCTGTTGGTATCTGATTATGGAGTAAATTGTATGAATTTCACTGAACATAGACTGAGAGATTTGAGCTGAAGGTTAATGAACACTGATCAGAAACTGATTCTGACTCTCTGGTTTTCAGGTTCTGGAGTGAAGGAGAACCAAATGATGATCAGCAAAATGAGGACTGTGCTGAGATTTTGAATTTTTCGAAGGGCTGGAATGACAGACCATGCTCTTACAAAGAAGGGTGGATCTGTGAGAAAAGCATTTTTGTGGTAAACTGACACTTATAAAATGATACCAACCCTGATCCTGGAGGTCGACCTTCCTGTGGACTGTAGTTTAATCACAATCTGCCACACCTGGATTTAAGACACCATTAAGCATAAACCTAAATAACATACTTGAAAAGTTTCAGAATTTATATATATATATATATATATATATATATATATATATATATATATATATATATATATATATATATTAGGGGTGGGAATCTTTAGGCACCTCACGATTCGATTACGATTCAGAGGGCTGCGATGCGATTATAAAACGATTATCGATATTATTTTCGAGACTGGACGCTGAATCTCGGCTCCAAAGTGTGCAGCATAGCGCGAAAGCCCTGGTTCTCAACGACTGAGAAATGGCGTGCAGACAGCAGGTCGCATAGCCCCGAGGTCTGGCCTCGCCAGTAGAACGAAGAAACAGAGATTATGACGAACATTTGGAGGACTTATTCGCATTTATAAGCAGCGCGGTTGGTTAAATCTGCAACGAGAGACTGTTTTTTTCTAAAAGTTGCGAAAATGAACTCGCTTCTCTTTCGTATTTTCCCGTTCCACCTTAAATGGTGCAGCAGTTACTTTCGGCGCCTCAGTCAGAATTTAAGGTGGAACGTGAAAATTAGAACGAGGATGAATGAGAAGCGACTTCAGCCTCGTAAAACAGCCGCATGCTGAGACATTTTACAAGAAACTCTTCTTGTTTTGAAGAAAGGTTTTCTGGCGGAGATGGGAGGAAAGTGGCTAAAGCTAAAGCTTAAAGCAGAGCAAAGTAAATCTGCATTTTCGTTTATATTGTTTAGCCTAAACTAGGACATTAACACATACTGAGACATACTGGGCATTAAATGTTGTGGCTCCCAAAGTGGTTTGACTTTGTTGAAAGGCAAAATGGCTCTTCTTATCATTTGTGTTGTGACTCCTGATCTAACCTGGCTTTTAACGCAGAGGGAGCCGGTCGGATTTCACACTCATCCAGTAGTGTTTTCGTAATGTGCTGTCACAGACTGTCCGGGCGCTGCACTTCTGTACTTCCAGTTCCGCCTTTTGCGTTCTGTCAACATTACGGTATAAATTAAATATTTAGAAAATCGATTTTTGCCATTTATGAATCAATTCAGAATCGTTCACGTCCGCATCGCGATGCATCTAAGACTCAAGTTTTTCCCGCACCCCTAATATATATATTTTTATTACATGATTAAACTGCTTATGTGCTCAATAAAGCTTATATCTGGAGTAAAACTCTTCAACAGCATAAACATCAGCATTCCTATCTAACAGTGGGGAACTGACCACTCTTCAGCATCCATCCATTCTTTTACATAAAGTGACTTATTTCTATACAGAATGTATTTGTTATAAATTGTAGCTGTATAAAGACTAAAATTATGGCAATTAAACAGTTTCCATATAATAACACCTGCTGATGAAAGTAAGATGGTTTTATAGGCAGTTTGGGAAACAGAGTCATTACAATGCAAAATCACATCAACACCACCATTTTTTTATTGTCCCTCGTCCCAGAGAACTAAATGCTTAGATATAGACCCACAGTTGGAACATCAAACCCCATATTTGTAATCCTTGATGAATTCAGCTTTTCTAATATAATGAACCTTTTTTACATTGAACTGATTAGCAGCTTTAATAGAAGCTGCAGTGAAAGGCAGGGAGTAAACAGGATAAAAGCATCTTGCCAGGTTTTCCACTTTTGTTTAATAAATCCTCCCAAATATTGATCTCTTAGTAACCAAACAAGTCTAGATCTACATTCATCCAATTTATTCCAAATATTAATCTTTCACTTAATCTACTATCCTTAGTTATACAAATACACAAGTGATTAACCACAAGGAGAAGCACTGAACTTCTTTAAGGGAGCACTTATGTAATGTCTTGTACTTTAACTTATGTCTAAATTTGTTTCTATTTTCTAATTTTCTGCATAGTATATGTACGTTTATGTGCAATTATACACTATATTAACAAAAGTATTCGCTCATCTGCCTTCACACGCATCTGAACTCGAGTGACATCCCATTCTTAATCCATAGGGTTTAATATGATGTCGGCCCACCATTTGCAGCTATAACAGCTTCAGCTCTTCTGGGAAGGCTTTCCACAAGGTTTAGGAGTGTTTATGGGAATTTTTGACCATTCTTCAAGAAGGGCATTTGTAAGGTCAGACACTGATGTTGGACGAGAAGGCCTGGCTCGAAGTCTCCGCTCTAATTTATCCCAAAGGTGTTCTGTCGGGTTGAGGTCAGGACTCTGTGCAGGCCAGTCAAGTTCTTCCACACCAAACTCACTCATCCATGTCTTTATGGACCTTGCTTTGTGCACTGGTGCGCAGTCATGTTGGAACAGGAAGGGGCCGTCCCCAAACTGTTCCACAAAGTTGCGAGCATGAAATTGTCCAAAATCTCTTGGTCTGCTGAAGCATTAAGAGTTCCTTTCATTGAAACTAAGGAGCCGAGCCCACCTCCTGAAAAACAACTGCATACCATAATCCCCCCTCCACCAAACTGTACACTTGGCACAATGCTGTTAGACAAGTACCGTTCTCCTGGCAACCGCCAAACCCAGACTCGTCCATCAGATTACCAGATGAAGAAGCGTGATTTGTCACTCCAGAGAACACGTCTCCACTGCTCTAGAGTCCAGTGGCGGCACTTTACACCACTGCATTTGACGCTTTGCATTGCGCTTGGTGATGTAAGGCTTGGATGCAGCTGCTCAGCCATGGAAACCCATTCCATGAAGCTCTCTACGCTGTTCTTGAGCTAATATGAAGGCTACATGAAGTTTGGAGGGCTGTAGCGATTGACTCTGCAGAAAGTTGGTGACCTCTGCGCACTATGCACCTCAGCATCCTCTGACCCCGCTCTGTCATTTTACGTGACGAGTTGCTGGCGTTCCCAATCGCTTCCACTTTGTTATAATACCACTGACAGTTGACTGTGGAATATTTAGTAGCGAGGAAATTTCACGACTGGACTTGTTGCACAGGTGGCATCCTATCACGGTACCACGCTGGAATTCACTGAGCTCCTGAGAGCGACCCATTCTTTCACTAATGTTTGTAGAAGCAGTCTGCATACCTAGGTGCTTGGTTTTATACACCTGTGGCCATGGAAGTGATTGCAACAGCTGAATTCAATGATCTGGATGGGTGAGTGAATACTTTTGGAACTATAGTGTATGTCTTGCTACTGAAACACTGCAATTTCCCTTCAGGATCAACAAAGTTCTATCTATCTATCTATCTGTCTATCTATCTATCTATCTATCTATCTATCTATCTATCTATCTATCTATCCATCCATCCATCTATCATTAGCTCATGTTTTTTTTATATTGACATGTAAGCCAGAAGGTCTAGACAACGCATTGATATTATCTATGACTTTGCCCACTTATTTAATATCCATTATAAAAGAATCATCTGTCAATTGACTAATGATTGTCTTCCTCAAAAATGGATCATTTTTCTTATGAAGCCACACTGTGTCCCACTAATTAAATCTGATATTACTCTCTGTCTCATAGAAGTAGAAAGAATATGATGCTCATTTACCCCCTGAAGAACCTGAATCAGGATATCTAGTAAAGAACTCCAAAACTGTCGGTAACAGTTCGTAGTTACTCCATCAGACACTGTCTGTGCTGTCATATCACGATTTGGGGAACAGTAGGTCAATCAGGGTCATGTGAGCATTTAAACTGTATAGTGTGAAAATCTGCAGGTTCTATCATGTAAAACCTGAAAGTTACAATAGTTACAATGTCATAATGTTCAGATCTGTAAGAAACAATGTAGTTTCACTTGTCTGTTGCTTAAAGTATGAACAGTGAGACTCTTAAGTCTTCTTGAGTTTGATTGCTCTCTGGTGGGAGAGACTAGGTTTCACAGCTTTTTAACAACATTTTTAGAGGATTCTTGATCTTTTCTTTCTTTTATATTGTGTGTATGTTAATATTTTATACTGTGTTTATTGCAGTGCATTTTCTTTTTTCCTGTTGGTGCAAAATTCTTCTTCCTCAAATTGTGTCATTTTCACAGACAGAGCTCAGTCAAAGCTGTTTTTAAATGCAAAATGTATCTGGGAAATGTGACCTGGGAACTTCACATGAAGTTTGACTGCCCCCTTGTGGAGGAATTGAAACTCTTTTCTGTGATCTAAAGTTTATACTGTCACTGCTTTAGCTTTTTACATACATCTCTACTTCAGCATCTTCCTGAAAATCAGAGTTTTTACATCATTTTGCATGTTACTTCATTGAACCTTTTGTGCTATAAAAGTTCATTTTTGTCATGTCCTGTCATGTTTTTATCATATTCACTGTTAAGGTTGAAGACTGTTTAAGGACTTCAATATAAGAAACGATTTTTAATTAACAGAAAAGTCTTGGCCTGTGTTATTTGGCTGGAATGTTATGTTTTATCAAAAAAATATTTATTTTCTATGCATTTTATTCATTCAAGTTCAGTTATGGACTCTACCTGTGCAGGTCAGTGTGATCATGAAATGATCATTTTAATAAAACAATGCTTCACTTTTAGAGCCTTTAGTTTGATGCATATTAGAAATGACAGAGATTGAGCGGAGGGTCTGGAAATGGTGGATGGTGTATCACTGACCACTGGGGTAAAATATCAGGACTCCAGGCACTTTGAGCTCTACAGCAATATCTGGATTGTGAAATATTTTGCTGTAATTTGCTGTATTTGCTTGGTTACAGTGATTCTCTGTCCATAGAAAGTCGACCATTTATGACCAAGTACACAAACCTGCCTTCAGGAGAGGAAGTTCAGCACACAATCATATGCAAAGTCTGGTTGAATTACATGTTTTGTTGATGTATAAGTTACACATCCTCTACAGAGAACACACTTCTGCAATTTTAATGCACAATTTTTGTTTATATATATATATATATATATATATATATATATATATATATATGTATATATATATATATGGACAAAAGCATTGGGACACTCTTAATAATTAATATCTGGTGTTTCATTCAGTCTCATTGCCACAGGTGTATAAAATCAAGCCCTAGCCATGCAGCCTGCCTTTACACACATTAGTGAATAGGTTGGTCTAAAGAGCTCACTGA